AGTCCAACCTCGAGAGATCTGAGACTGAGGGACGCTTGCGCCTCGAGCAGCGGCTAGATGATGCAGCTCGAGAGCTGGCTGCCCAGCGACGTCACCAGCAGGAGGAGCAGGAAAAGTTCCAAGAGACTGTCAACGAGTTCAAGCGCCAAACCGAGACTGCAATCAAGCTGAAGGACGAAGAGAAGCAGCAAGCCGAGAAGTGGAAAGCAGAGCTCGTAAGTGTCCGCGAGGAGCTTGCCCAAAAGACGATTCAGGTGAACGATCTGAGCAAGAAACTGCAGGAGAGCCTGACGCCCTCGATGAATGAGAATCCCGTAACGTCAGCCAACAAAAGGGCCCGAGAATTCGAGCTCAAGTACAACCAGGCTGCGGTTGAGATTGAATCGCTCAAGAAGGAGCTGGCCTCGTTGCGGGCGCATGGCGAGCAGTTCTACAAGATGTCACAGACTGCCGAGGCCGAAGTCAAGCGCCTGCACGAGCTGCACTCCGAGATGGTGGCCAATCACGAGGATGAGATGAAGAAATGGAAGAACGCCGAGGGCGAGCTCAGGGCACGCATCGACGAACTGGAGGCCGAGGCCATGCTCTCAAATGTCACCGAACAGAGCAGGACCATAAACCAGACAGATCAGGTCAAGGCCTCCCAGGATGAGCTGAAGACTGTTCTTGAGAAGCTCACCGAATCGGGTCGCACAATCCGCACTTTGCGATCTGAGAACACGACGCTGGCCGAGTCTCTGCACGAAGTGGAAGTAAAGTATGCCCACGAAATGGTCTTGCACTCCACCGACATCCAAGACCTTACCAGTCTGAAGACTGACAACTTCAAGTTGAGGGACGAGCTGAACCAGCTGAAGACGGGACGGGAATCGCTGCAGGCCGCCCACGACGCCCTGGTCAAGTCGAACGCCGAGGCCCAGAGGCTTCTGGAGAAAGAGAAAGAGGAGTCAGACAGGCGCGTGGCCGACTTGAATGCTCTGAATGCGACTTTGCACGATCAGATTGAAGCACTGGCCACAAAGCTGACGGCCTTGAGTCAGTCGGGTTCGGGTCAGGGTCAGAACAGTTCGATTCTTAACGAATCTCAGACTATGGATGCAGACCAAAGTCTCAACATTTCCGGCATGGCTGTAGAGGAGATCCGCAGCAACGAGCAGCTCCTGAAGATCATTAAGTTCCTGCGCCACGAGAAGGATCTATGTGTGGCAAAGCTGGACATTGTAAAGGCTGAGAATGCACGCCTAGCGTCGGAGCTCACCATTCAGCAGAAGAAGGTGGACGAGCTGAATGCCTGTCTAAACCAGGAACGCTCCAGGAACCAGACCGACGTGGTTTCGACCTCTAAGCACGCCGAGGTGTTGCGCAAGATCGAGACCCTGAACGCCATCACAGATAGCAATCGCATCCTGCGAGAGGAGCGAAACAGTCTCACACAGCGCGTGACGGAGCTGACTAGCCGCATCCAGAGTTTGGAAAAGGAACTGTTCCCGCTTCAATGCGGCAACAAGGAGCTAACATCGAAGATCGAAGAACTCAATTTGGAGAACACCTCGCTGCGCACCGAGGCCGTCAAATGGCGTCAGCGAGCCAATGTCTTGGTGGAGAAGAGCAATCGCAATCCAGAGGAGTTCAAGCGGATTCAGACAGAGCGCGAGAACCTGGCCAAGCAGCTCACGGCTGAAAGGGAACTTAGCAAGAAACAAAACGAAGAGATTGGCTCCCTGAGGTCAGAGCTGCCAGCGCTGACAGGAAAAGTGCAAGCCTTGGACGAGGCCCGCAAGAAACAGATGGAGGAGTCCATAAATCTCCGGCAGACAAACACACGCCAGTCGCAAGACATCATGGAGCTGAAGAACCGACTGTTGCAGAAGGAAGAGGAACTGCTGAAGGCCACCGATGACCTGGAGACGAAGGAGAAGGCTCTGCAGGATAAGGACAGCAAGGAGTTGGCCTTGCGTAAGGTGGCCAAGCGCTACAGGGATAGCTACGTGACTCTCCAGGCGCAACAGGGGGGAGCCGACATCAGTGCCGACCTGGAGAAGGTTCGCTCCGAGCTGGAAGAAGTTGGCAACCAGTATAGAGCCGCCAAGGAGGAGCTGGAGAAGGTGACCACGGAAAACGATGCTCTCAAGAAACGCCTGACTGAGCCCGAAACGGATTCCAATGCCGCCCGTCAGGATCACAAGGTAAAGGTGGACAAGCTCATCCAAGACCTTACAGTGGCCAGAACGGATCTGGTCAATCAGGAGGCTACCCTAGCCAGCAACAAGACCCAATACGACGAGACCGTCGCCCGCCTGGAGAAGGAGCTGCAGGAGAATATTGCCGCAAACAAGGAGGTCAACTTGCGGCTCACTCGCGAGAACGAGGCGCTGCACATGCGCATCAATCAACTCCAGCGTCAACTGGGCTCCCAGCAGTCGACCAAGCCCTCTACGAGCTCTGTCGCGGAGAAGGGAAATATATCAGAGTCCTCATCACCACGCACTGCCAATGTGAAGCCCATGTCGGGGTCGGCCACAGTGCAGCAGTCGGCTACTGTCACCCCCTGGCGTGGCGGGGAGACACCCTTGGCCAGCATCAGACCTATCTCCGTGCAGAACAGCCGGACGGCTGCCATCCTGCCCACCAGCCAGCAGCCGTCGGCGGGCAGTGCTTCGACATCCTCGTCATCGACCTCTACCACATCTGCATCGGCCAGTGGCAGCAGCTCTGCCGTGGCCAACACTGCCCTAGTTCCCCCGCAGCAGCAGGTTCACACCACAGGCAGTGGAGCCTTGGAGTCGATGGCTTCCTCATCGCCCACATCTTCGCACACAGATTACATGCCGTCGACCAGCTCGGCGGCTGTAGCGGTGGCCGCCATTCCACCGATGGGAGCCACCTCCGCCGCCGAGAGTTCCCAAGAGGCGGAAAGCGTTCAGCATCCACAGCAGAACGATTCTCAGCTATTTGCAGGAGGGTCTCAGCAGCAGGTCGTGGCCTTAGTATCGCCACGCGTAGAGGGCTCTTCGTCGACTTCTACTTCCACATCGACATCGACCTCCACTCCGAATCCGACTGCGCCAAGTGTCCAGGATGCGAACAACCAGAGCCAGCAGCCCAGCACTTCTGGCAGCAGCAGCAGCTCGTCGACGGTAGTCAGCAGTCACAGCAGACACACGCCGTCCAGCAGCAATGTGACCACCACTCAGGCTGGCTGTTCATCCATTGGCATCAAACGTCCTCGCGACGTGGAAGGTGACTCCACCAATACAGAAGATGGGGTCCCCGAGAAGATGAAACGGCTGCGTACTCCTATGCACAGCGAAGAGCTGTCCGCCACTCACATTGGAGACTCCGGGATGGACGTAGATCAGATGCCAACCTCGTCGCAGCGAGATCAGGAGGATGACATTCAGGTGGTGGACTCTGATGATGAGGACGATGTCTTGGCGGATGCTGATGACGGCCCCGTCGATGGTGGCGAGGCCGATCAGGAGGGCTACGAGGACTCTTACGAGCAGGACAACGACATGGACAACGAGGGTGCGGACGATGAGAACGAAATGCCGTCCGATCCTCAAGACAATAACGAGGTGGATATTGAGGAGCAGCAACTTCAGGTCCAAGAGGAGAGCCAATTGCTGGACAATCAAGCAGGTGCGGCAGTAGTGGCTGCCTCTGCCTCTACCCAGGAGAACAACCAAAGCCAGGCTATCACCAGTGGCAGTGGAGACTCTTCGAATCCTGCAAAATTGCCACAAGCTGAGACCTCCCCATGGAAGCAGGCGGTCGCCTCTACATCTTCGGCAGCATCTCGGCGTACAGAGAGGTAAGTCGGAAACTAATGTCTTCATACAGAGTGTAATAGAATCCTTCCCAGTAGCTCCGTGGAAATTGTCAGTTCCCCGCAAGTGTCCAACTTTAGTGAGCAGCCAGTTCGTGTGGAGACAGCAGAGGTAGATGGAACCGCAGCAGTGGCTCCCGACGAGAGTGCTGGGCCAAGTGGTGATGGCGCAGCAGCCACATTACCCCAGAAGCCAAACGAGGCAGCCGAAAGCAACGCTGCCGATGCCAACAAGCAACCAAGCGAGAGTGACTTGGGCGGAGCAGAAGATATCTGTGAGGCTGACGAAGCCTTTGCCGAGGAGACGCTGGACCCTGGCCAGGGTGAAGACTCTCAGCAGCTCGCAAATGAGAGTAAGCAGATGCAGGCCATCCTCGATTGGGATATAAAGATAACCTGTTCACTTTTGCAGACCAAAATGTAGGCACAAGCCAGTCTGAGCTAACGGATAACCAGCCCAATCAGGCGGAAGGCGGTTCAGCTGAAGCCAACGAGGGCACAGATGGAGTCTCCTCAGAGGGTGAGAAGCAGACAGTGGGTGTTGAGGTAAGAAGGACGCGCTTTTACCAAAGATAGCGTAATCGTAGCCATGGCGTGGTTTCAGGTTGGTGAAACTCCTGACTGCATGCGATAATTGGAATGCGACTAACATCAGTTGTTGTTAAAGTCCTTGCCTATATTTGCTACTAACTATACCATCCCCTATTCGCTGCTGATCAACATTTTAACACGATCTATTCTCTTTAAAGGAGGAGGGACGCGAGGCCGAGGCCACGTCCCCGTCGGACAACACGCGATATCGCACGTTGCGCAGTGGTATGCCAAACAACAACCGTAGGGTTCGCGGAGCACGTGGAAATCAAAATTCGAACCAGAATCGGTCACGCATTGTGTGGCAAAACAATGCCAACATGCAAGATCAAGGTTCCTCCAGTAACCGTGGATACAACCACCCCCGCGGTGCCCGCACCCGCGGCCCTCGCTCTCGTCGACCACCGGCAAACAACTTCAACAACAACCCCGGACGATACTAGCAGGAACCAGATTCCGGCGAATCCCCAGACGACAGTGTGCTGACATGTCTGGCAGCGAACGCCGATTCTCCTACATTCACTTATATTTAAAAACTACATTTAAAGAAATTAAAATAAAGCCAATCAAATTGAAATCATTGCCTTTTTGTAATTTTCTTTTTTTATTTAGTTTTGTAAAACCCTAACTCTGTGTCTGGAAAAAGATTAGACGTATCATCATCTAAGATCTTGGGCGTTCCTTCTTCTCCTTGTAAAGAGCCAACAGAGAGACGTTGGCCACCTTGACAACCTTGAAGCGCACACCGGGAATATCACCGACGGCGTGACCCTTACGACCGAAACCGGCAACCAGGACTTCGTCGTTCTCCTCGATGTAGTTCAAGCTACCGTCACGGGGCACGAAAGCGGTAATCTTCTTTCCGTTCTTGATGAGCTGCACCCTCACGCACTTGCGGATGGCAGAGTTGGGCTGTTTGGCTTCAACGCCACTGCAATTAAACAAATAGGGAGTGGATTAGAATATATTTGTTAGATACACTTTCCGAATGAAATACAAAATACACTTGGGTTCCTTTCACACTCTCTGATAGCACGCCCAGCATCTCACAGTATAATCCTGTGATTTGCGTTTCAGACACAACAAAACACAAAAATATACTGCGAGGCGTCAAGACGCCGATTCTTTCGGCACACCTAGGAAAACACATTGGAGATGTTCTGAGATCACCGTACGTACACTTTCTCGAGCACAATACCCTTGGCGTGGGAAGCACCGCCGAAGGGATTGGCCTTCCATCTGGTGCCCAAATGAGCCTTCTTGTAGTCCTTGTCGGCCCAACGCTGGTCGCGACGATGGTTCACATGCTTTCTGGCTGTGCGCAGACCTCTTGGTTTGCCTGAAAACATTCAATAAATTGGATTAAATCGAAGTTCACTATGGCATCAAGAGCGGCAAAACAATGTAAACAAATGACAGTTTAGTCGGCTTTGACTTTGTGAGGTTAGATCGAATGAATCGTTGCAAATTTCATTTAAAAGACTATTATCGCTAAATATCACTTGCAATAGCTGCGTTGAGGTGTGTTCCCTTGTCAAAGCCAGATCGTAGGCCATAAGTTTGCACGATTCATTCGATTTCAACGGATTTTTGCATACGCAAAATCCCAACTCTTTCAACTTTTTGATAGCACCAAGTCTCTCAGGCTGTTCAACATAAATTCACTTACTCTTTTAGCCGCCCGACATTTACAACTCCATTTCTACACTGTTTTGCGACACAATTTGCTTGTTTCACATAAAAACTACTCTTTTTTGACAACTCACCCATGATTTTTCAACTATCTCAGGCTGTGGCGGAAATAAAAGAAAGAGGAAGACATGTTTGACTATCGATGGCACTATCGATGGTTTGACAGCTCTACTGCAGTGTTTATCGGACTTATCGGCAAAATATACCGTCCGACCCTCAGAAATACACCAAAATATACTGTCATTTTAAAAATATACCGTAAATATAGCGACGAATACTAACGCGTCTTAAAAAATAATGGAAAATACTGTGAAAAGTTTTAAAATGTGCAAGGTGTGTGAGCTAGAAGTGGTATCTAAATCCACTCCACTTACCATACAAATACCAAACATTGGGCTTATCGCTATTTTTCCACGATCGAAAATCATATTCCTCGATTTTGCTATTCATAAAGAGTCCTAAATCTTTGTCTCGAAGCATAAATATAAAAATTTTTTGTTTTGCCTACCCTAATTTGTAATGGAAAAATAGACTGTACACACTTGTTTCATCATAGTCCTCCTCCTGCGTCAGGTCTCTCATACAAAATTTGAATTTTTAACGGACAGTTTAACGTACACTTGGCCGCATTTAGGCACTCTAGGCACTCTGCCTAGAGAAAAAAATAGACCATTACGGGCATTCCTGGTATCGATTTTGAAGTGCATGCAAGCAATGGAAACAAATAATGATGGTATTCGTTGTAGCCTGTTAAAATTTAAACCAAATTATTTCAAAATCATGATTTTAAATTATGAAATAAAAAAAAATGCAATTTTCCATCAGATTAAATAAATATTTTATGAAAATCTAAAATTCCTTTTCTCGGCAACGTTCATCGCGCTGTTTGGGGAGCTCGCCAGGCCAGTTACTACCAAAGCCCGATGGCCCCACTGAGCCCCACACAGTCGTTGGCGGTATCGCGTTGCTTTCGGTTCGGTTACGCGCAAAAGCGGTTAAAACTTCCACAGAGAAGTATACGCACGGAGCTTGGAGTTATTTTTAACGTTTTTTAACAGAAATTTTAGGTTAGTGCGTGCTTTGACAAACGAGTTTTAAGTTATTTGCAATAAGTGGTGTTTTGTGCCCGCCTGTGGCATGTTCTATGTACCACAGGCCGATTGCCGCGGTAAAACGCTGGGGCACAGGTGTGCCGTGGCACAGCCACAACAAAGTGTGCAAGCATTTTAGGAATGGCATGCAATATGCAAATATGTAGATCTACTCTACTCCACCCCACAGAAAGTGAAGTTAAACTGGAAAACTAACACAAAACTGCCACACCCACTGCCAATATTTGAGAGGAATCTTCGATGCTCCCATTGGATGAGATCGAAAAGTGATCATGCTAATTGGAAAACAACTTGTTTCAAGTTTACTAGGCTTCAGTTCATAAAAATTCCTAAGGTGCTGGGGGTACGAAGAGTGTGAGCGCGAGACTCGCGCAAAAATAAATATGGAAAAAAAACTGTGTCTGTGTCGGTTGTTTCTTTCTACCTCAACTATGTCGCATGTACTCGTACGCTGGAACCGGTTCCTCAACAATGTGTGAATGATACGATGCTGTGTGAGAGTGGCTCTGAGAGCCTGGGAAGGTGTGTGAGATCACAGACCCCAGCTGCATACATAGATCCACAAGGCATTTCAATTTCAATGGCACAGCTTAGTGCAACTCTTCTAATACAATGGGAAAATAGTAATTAATTAAAAAACTTTTTACGCGAGAGTGTAAAAATAAGACCTGATGCTATCCATTGTCAAGTGAGTGATGTCAGTCGTTGCGCCTGCGCAGTCCCCAAAAGTTGGTGATGTAAACAGGGGATCGACGAAGACTGGGAGAAGGTATAGGCAATGAAAACGAAATGGAATGGAATGCAATAGAGCACAAGACGCTAAAAAGCAAGTACCTGGAAAGAGGGCGTGGAGCTGGATACGATGTCTTTATCTCTGGACGTGACGCTGGCCACCAGAAATTGGCACACTTGTGTGTTTGTGTTTTTCCTTTATGCAATACCTAGCTCCGTTGATTAATCAACTGTGACACTCGCTTTCTATCCCCCGTAGTACTATGCAACAGACACATACTGTTGTAATTAACGACACATCCAATTGCTTTTGGCTTCACTTTTATGTGTGTCGTTACAAGTTTTCCTTGAATGCTCTCGTATGCGCATATGTACGTACCTTCTCTGATCTACTACATGATGTCATCTAATTGCCAGTTTATGTATGCACATTCATCAAATCAAATCAATATCTTGACGGAACAGTGGAGGTCTTTTCTCAGCCGGTTCTACACGTGTGACATAGTTTTCCCATTTTCCGAACCAGTGTGCACCTGTTCAGCTCTCAGTGCGGTTTTATTTTTGAATCATGGATTTGTTATTCCATATCCCTTTTTCTATTGGGAATTGGGTTTGAATCGGAAACTGTCGCTTCTAATTCGAGTTTCCAATTAAACTTCACCATATACCTATGCATAAACAATGTAAAATTGGTTATAGACTTTTATCAACGGGAGGTTTGAAATTAATTTTCCCAGAAAGAACGACGATACCCATCAAGAAGCTAGAAGCCCCCTGACACATGCCACTTCGAGTTTTCCTCCTGTACACACAAGCAGCAAATGTTGATCAATCTACCAGGAATAGAATGGATGGAATACATACATACCTCCTTGAAATTATAGCTCTAACCCCATGACAAACCCTCCCTGTTGTATATTTGGGTACTCCCTGGAAAAGCGAACACAAGCGAGTGTTAACCCAGTTTACACAATTCGTGGCACGCGATGTCCGGTTAAGATTGCCTTGCAATGACCAGCAATTGCCACAGCAAAGAAAATTGTTAGCCCACCTTGACCGAACCCCATCGTATACCCAGTCACATCCCCACCCTTGGCTCTAGCGTGGGGTCAATAGCTTGGCGTGTGCTACAAAATTTCTACGAGCTGGGAACTTCCAAGCCCCTCACTATTTTATGGCTGATAAACAAAAAAACAGCTAGATAGAGGCATATTTCTTGAATTGGTTAGTCTTATCCGGGAGCATGATAAAGCCAAAGAAATCTTATCAATATTTGTCAACGAAGCACATACTACTTAACGACACTCCAGAACTTCACGCGACATTCAGAGGGTGGTATCTAATTAGAGTGCTCTCAAATGAAATATGTAACTTATCCGATCCAGTCGGGTATTTTGCCAGCGTAAACATCCTTAAGTGGACCAAATGGGACGCGTCTTGTAACAGAACACCGAAGAGGCGCAGCATCGGCAATGTGGTTGAAGAAGGTTGGGACACGGTCGCTGCGCAGCATAACACCGCGTGTGAGCCGCGTCAGCAGATTAATGCAGTTAATATCTATAGATTCTCTAAGACACTCTAAGTAAATTCGTGGATTCCTATTTTATTTTTTGCCCAGTCGCAATTCATTTATCTCCTTGCTCTGATCCACATTGATCTTTTGGGTCTACAAAATTTCCAACTTTTAATATTGATCAAAGCCATTAGAGTGGTGCTGTCAGAAGCAGAGCTTAATGTTTCTTAGAACTGTACAATCCGCATGTACAATATGCATATAGCAAACGTTGTGTGTACTCGTACACTGACAGCATTCAAATTGCGACTATTTTTTGTTTTACCAGTCTGAAAACTGGCTTTTTAACAAGGGCATGACAACCTCTATTGAGGAGCGGGCACACCACATAGTATGGGTATATACAAATGCATATATACGAGCCCACATAATGGCTCATTGTTGTTGTGTATTTGTTGTGGAAAAGTCGCTAATCAGTTTTGTCTCACGTTCACAAAACAAAAGCTTAACAACCAAGCCAAGCCGTAGCGAATGGGAGCTGGGGGGCCAATGGCTATATGGCCAAAACACTTATTAATGTGCCAAGAATTTAATGGAAAGCATTTATTGTTATGGCTGCGGCCGTTTTGGGGCCAGGTGAAATTTTTCAGGTTTTCACTTTACCTTCCACAGTATGACGACGAACGTGGTGGCGGCCCTATCGGCCATGTTCGTCTGTCAGTAAAGGTCTGGGTCTCTGGTGAATGTGATGTTTTCTAGATAAATCATTCACAATCAATAAATTTGACTTTCAAGGTCCGAACGCATAAAAAGTGAGCGCTCATTGTGCGGTTCTTATATGGCGCGAATATATACAAAAAATAACCAAAAAACAAAAATAAGGTCTAAACAATGACTGTATCGAGCTAAAGCCGAAGCTTGGGCGAGCTTCAATTAGCATTTTGCTGGCATTTCAAAGAAAGGCGAAGGAATTCATTTTACAAAAATTAAAACGCATTTAAAGCCAGATACATACAAGCTCGTATAAAGATAGTATATAGTATAATGAAAAGGTAAACACTTCAAGGTTAATCGCAAATGTTTTCAAATTCAAGTTCAATTCGAATTCTTGTTATTTCAAGAGAGGGGAGCGACAAAATCAGAGCGGGATATGTTTACACGCTGCTGGTCTGGGTAGATCGTTGTTCGCCTTCATTTTAGATGAATCATAGCCTGAATTCATCAGAATGCCGATCGTGTAGGCACATGGGAAAATCCACTATACATAGTGGTTTTGTATGCTGCGGTCGTTTCACTCCCGCGGCGTCTCTCACTTCCTTATTGATCTGGCTTGGACCCCGACGCGACCACAAGCGAAAGCAAAAGTCTGGCATTCTGACTCATTCTGGGGGAACTGACCTCGATAATATGGCACTGGCTCGGCACCCACCTGCAAAAAAAGCACCATAAATTCGCCTGACAATTGTCGGCCACTAGAAATAATTAAGTAATTTGCTTAAGCGCAATAAACGCTTAATTTATTACACCGCTAAACTAAACCACTAATCGCCGACTCGATTTACTGTACTATGTAGTGGGCACTACGTATACGCAGCGGTGCCTGACGAGCTCCACAGTGATAAGCATTGAGTGGCCAACAAACTGATAGTTAAATGGTGTTAAACGATACGGAGGCCCTCTCTCCTCTAAATATATGTACATACCCCTAACGTCAGGCACAATCTGTCCCGATATGACTAC